GAAATCAGAATCCAAGGTAAAGGATTCATCAAAGTTCCAATTTATTAAGAGAGCCATGTTGGCACATCTGGGAAAACCTGAATTCGAAAGCTTCCCCAACCAGTTGAAAGTTCAAGATCTTGCGCCCACACCCACAAGTCCCATCACATGGTCCAATCTCCCACTGCCATGCTGGCAGCTTCCACCCATCCAGTTCCAGTCAGGTGCAGAGACAAAGGATGACTTTGGCTCTCTAGAAAGAATTTTGTTATGGCTACATAGCATCTAACCCCATACAACCCCTCCTCCCATTTTCCCACAATAGAAAATGCATAGTAGAATAATAGTAAGTGTGGCAGGCCAAAGATCCAAAAGAAAAGGATGACCTTGGATTCTAGAAGCAAACTCCTGGTCCCGACAAAAACCCCTTTTATTAATTTGCTGTGAATTCTGCTCATTCACATCCAGCAAAGTCTTTCGAGGGAGGATTTACAGTGGCTTGGAGAGCTGATAGGCCAGTGATGGCTAACCTTTTTCTAAGGGTGTGCTATAACTGTGTGTGCACGCACTATCGCATGCACATATGTGCCCCTACGCCTGCACATGTGGGGCTTTTTTGCCCTCCCCAGGCTCCGGAGGCGTTCCTGAAGCCTGGGGAGTGTGAAAATGCCCTCCCTGGCCCTCCCAAAGGCTGAAAATCAGCTGGCCGGCACGCACATGCGCCCCGTAGCTGAGGGCTGCCGTGCTGGCAAATATGGCTCCGCATGCCACCTGGGCACATGTGTCATAGGTTCGCCATCACGGTGATAGGCCAATATCTGCAAAACTTGGCAAGGAGTCTCAGAGAATCACGAACCAATGAAGCACACTAATTTTCTCCTGCAAACTCCATTCCCCTTTTGCTCCTCAGTCAGAACAACTCCATTCGCACTGCTGCTTCTGAAGGACTCGCGTCCATCGAGAGACCTTGATGCCGTTGAGCTACGAGGTTAACCAGTCCCAAGGCAGAGAAAGTGGGCCAATGAAGGTACCGACAGAACTTAAAAACTCTGTGAAAAAATGATCTTGACAGAGAGATGGAGGGCGGCCTCTACAGTTCACACACAGCCCAGATGTCCACATGGAGTTCTGCACACTGGGCAGCTGATACCAGCTGCAAAAGCATCACAACTCAAGGAGCCACCTGGTCCAGTGGTCTCGCCCTGGCGTGCTACACTGAAGAAAAAAATGCTCCTCACTGTCAGCTGCTGATGCTCCAACTCTGTGGATTTCTCCAGCAGCTGCTGCTCTTGTTCCCCACACTTCTTCTTGTACTGTAAAACCTAGAAGGGAAGGAAAAGAAAATTGTGCCGAGCTGTTCTGACCCAGCTCCCCAAACATGACAAACCCTCAATCAACAATTCCTTTATTAGGAGAGCTGGCAGCCCTGGCAAACAGTCCCTCTCTCACTGGAGGCTAAGAAGCCTGTCCGCCTGGGAGATGAATAGTTGTCTGCCAGATCTATTCATCTCCGCCCCCTGCCTTTTATCCCCAGAGCTAGGGTGGGGCTTTGCTAGCAGCAGTGGCTCTTCCGTCCCAAGGACCGGACCACAGATTTCCACTGCTCTCCTCTCCTCTGCCTTATGCGCATCCGTGCATCAAGCACTGGACCCAGCTGTTCCTCCTCTTCCCCATCAGCCATCTCCAGACCTGGGGGCTGTTGCTTCTCCATCTGAGGGCTGAAAGACAGTCTAGGCTCCACCTCTGTCTCTCTTCCAGCTCCACTCCCTCTTCCGCCTCGGAACTCTAAGGTTGCCTTGATGCTGACCCTGACTCCCATGCCTCTTCCTCTGATTTGGCTGCTGGAGCGGCCGGTGGTCATCAACAGGCCATAACACAAGCAGACACAACTGCAGTCCTTGGCCCAACGAGCAGGTAGAGGACTTTCACCTTGGCTACTGCTGTCTTCCAAGACAGGGCTGATCTTCTTGAAGGAAAAGCTAGCTCGGCCTTGCAATGCCAGCATTAACTTCACCCCGGCAGAAGGGCCTAGTGGCTTCAATTTAAGGTGGGCTCCCTTTATTTCCTCCACCTAAAGAAGCCCAGGGAATTATTATAGGAGAACCGGAATTCCTGCAGAAATATGGGCTTTCTAAGTGTTACTTACTTAGACTTAAACCAAGACAAGCATTAAGTACCATAAGCCGAGAGGGAAAATCCTCGAAGCTTTACTCTGGGATCTAACTCAGGTGAACTGTAACCTTAAACAGGACTGAAAGAAGAATGCAGAGGCAGGGAGGCGTCTTGCAATCAAAGGGGACACACACGCACACACAAACACACACACACACATCCAGCCTGGAGCACCTGGAGGCACGCAGGCGGCTTTCCCAGCAGCTGCCCAACCCACCTTGGCTTGCAACTTCTGCACCAGCTGCGCCTGCCGCTGCTGTCCCTCCTGGTAGGCCTGCAGTTTGCGTTTGTAGGATGCCTGGTCCTCCTCCAACCGCCGGCGCAGCTCGATGTTCTGCTTGGCCAGGCTCCTGTTCTCCAGGCTCTCCTGCTCTCCCGTCTCCAGTCGCAACGCATCCTCCAGCTGAGGCAAAGACAACCAGCTGCCACATACCCGGGATTGCCTTAACATTGTGCACATCGGCTTCACACACACACAACAGCGGCCGCTCTAGGAGGTGAGTTTCGACTGGACTGAGAGAGGAAGCAGCCCGACAGTGAGGACTGGAGCTCACTGTCCAACCCTTCTCCCAAGAGAGGAGTGGGGGGAGGGGGGGAAGCATTCAACTGCCTGTCTTTCGGCCGAATTGCCACATTCCTTCTATTCTCTCCTCAACTGGTTAGTTCGATGTGTTGGGTCGGCCCACTCCTAAGTCCCCATTCAGCTCAGAAAACAAGCAGAGCATCGGGTCGAAATGCTGCTTCTACAAGTTGCCTGCCCCACACCCTTCTTTAAGACACCTGGCAGAGGGACCCAAAGAGAGACCCAAAGAAGGGAAGTGTGGGGAGGGCTCCTGAGGCAATCAGCAGATCAGGTGAAGGAAGGACAGTTGCGGCTTCCCCGAGGTCGCAAAAGATAGGTGTCCCCTTTCGCAGCCTTCAGACGAGCCCAAGTCCATGGGGAAACCAGATTCACTTAACAACCGTGTTAGCCACTTATCGACCGCCGCCATTCACTGAAACCCGGTGGCAGGAAAGGTCGTGAAACGGGGCCAAACTCACTTAGCAAATGCCTCCCTTAGCAACTCTCTTGCGGTCGTAGGTCGAGGACTGCCTGCACCCGCCTCCTTTGGGACGAGGGTCCCTCTGGCGTCAGCTGGGCTGCCCCTTTCTCACCCTCCCCTCCCCCAGGACCCACCCTGCCCCCTCCCCTCCAGGACCCTCCTCCCCTCTCAGCAACTCCCCAGGACTCTCCCTCCCCCCCAGGATATTCCTCCCCCCCTC